GTTAGAATGAGCATACCATAATCCTAATTCAGTGGTCCCAATAAGATATCTAATAATGCGTTTAACTGCAGTAAGATGGAATTCTTTTGGATCCGACTGAAACCTTGCACATTTACAAACACTGAACATTATATCTGGTCGACTAGCAGTGACATATAATAAAGATCCAATCATTCCTCTATACATTATTTGATCCACACTTTTTCCATTATTGTCTTCTTCAAGTGTAGTTGTTGGACTCACTGGAGTTCCAATGGACTTTGCATTCTCCATACCAAACTTCTTTATAAGTTTCTTGGTGTACTTGGTTTGGCTGATAAAGATCCTTTTGGGACATTCTTTGATTTGCAGTCCAAGAAAGAAAGTTAGCTCTCCCATCATGCTCATTTCGAATTCTCCTTTCATAGTGTGGGCAAATTCTTCACATAGTACATAGCTAAGGCTTCCAAAAATAATATCGTCAACATAAATTTGAGTAATAAGGTTACCTGAACTTGAGCGCTTAATAAACAGGGTTGTGTCGATATTACCTCGTTCGAAACCTTGATTTAGAAGAAAAGAACTTAATCTTTCATACCAGGCTCGGAGGGCTTGCTTGAGTCAGTATAGAGCTTTAGACAACTTGAATACATGATTTGGAAAGCTGTCACTTACAAAGCCAGGTGGTTGTTTCACGTATACTTCTTCAGAGATGTATCCGTTTAGGAAAGCACTTTTTACATCCATTTGAAATAATTTGAATACTTTATGAGAAGCAAAAGCAAGTAGTATTCGAATAGACTCTAATATTACTATAGGTGCAAATATTTCATCTTAGTCGATTCCCTCTTGCTGAGAGTATTCTTGAGTAACTAGTCGTGCTTTGTTACGAACCACTTGACCAGATTCATTCAATTTATTTCTGAAGACCCATTTAGTTCCTACAATGGAAGCATTTGATGGTTTTGGAACCAAATCCCACACTTTATTTCTTTCAAATTGATCAAGTTCATCTTTCATAGCTTTGATCCCAATAGTCGTCTTTAAGGGCTTCATCCACCTTCTTTGGCTTAAGTTGTGATATTAAGGTCATGTGAGAGTTGAGCTTCTGAGATCTTCTGGTAGTGATTCCCTTATGTGGATTTCCAATGATGAATTTGTGGAGATATCTAGGTTCACTTTTCCATTCATTTGGAACGTTTGTGATTGGCTCCTTTTCCTCAGTGGTTGACTGTTCTGCAGAAAAAGATTCTTGGATTTCAATGTCCTCCTCAGTTGACCGATTTTGCTGACTGGTCGACTCATTGTGACTGTCTTTTCCTGCAACAACAGACTTTGGGAAAATAAAAATTTCCTCATCTTCAGGAAGTTTTTCGTTCCTTGAGCGAGGGTTAGTATCCATAAAAATAACATGAATTGATTCTTCAATGCATAAAGTTCTTTTATTGTAAACTCTATATGCTTTACTTGAGGGAGAATATCCAAGAAATATACCTTCATCGCTTTTTGGATCAAACTTACCCAAATTGTCTTTTCCATTATTGTGGATGAAACATTTGCATCCAAATGGGTGGAAGTAACTAATGTTGGGTTTCTTACCATTCCATAGCTCATATGGAGTCTTTTTAAGAATGCGTCTGATCCGACATCGTTAATTATATGATATGTTGTGCTTATAGCTTCTGCCCAGAAGTGGTCAGGTAGAGAGTTTTTCACAATCATGGTTCTTGACATGTCCTGCAAAGTTCGATTTTTACGTTCTACCACTCAATTCTGTTGAGGTAATCTTGGCGAGGAGAAGTTGTGATAGATTCCTTGATCGTTGCAAAAGTTTTCAAATGCTCTGCTCTCGAACTCTCCTCCAAGGTCACTTATGATAGTGAAAATGTAGTATCCCTTTTCACGTTGAACCTTCTTACAGAAGACTTCAAAATTCCTTAGAGCTTCATCTTTATGACTCAGAAAAATAACCTAAGTGAAACGAGAAAAATCATCTACGATAACAAAAGTATATTTTCTACCACTAATACTAGCAGTTCTAGTTGGACCAAACAATTCCATATGCAAGAGTTGAAGAGGTTTAGTAGTAGAAACAATATTTTTGATTTTGAAAGATGAACGAGTTTGTTTTCCTAATTGACATGCATCACAAATATGATCTTTTGAAAAATTTAGTTTTGGAAGACAAATTACAAGATCGTGTTTGGAAAGTTTTTGAATAGTATGCATGCTAGCATGGCCAAGCTTTCTAAGCCATACCCAGGGATCATCAATCATAGATGCTAGAAAAATTTGATTACCAAGACTATCTACATTACTGATAGTATAGACATTCCTGTCTCTATTACCAGAAAGAATAACTTTACCTGATTCGTCTTCAATAAATCAGCCATATTTTTTAAAACGAACCTCATAGTCATTGTCACATAGTTGACTTATACTGAGAAGATTGTAACCAAGTTCATCAACCAAATATACTTCGTCTACGTCACATGTTGAGCTGAGAGGAACTCTTCCAAGTTCAATTACATTTCCTTTTAATTTGTCTCCAAACGTAACCGTTCCTCCATCTAATTTGGTGGCAGTCTTGAACAATTATTTTTCACCAGTCATATGTCTGGACCATGTGCTATCAAGATACCATTTCCCTTTTCTATTCTTCTTGCGTTGTTCCTGCAGAAAAAGAAAATTATTTGTTTTTAGGTACCCAAGCTTGCTTGGGTCATGAATGGTTAGTATTCTGGGTATTAGCTTGACTGGAGGACTTGGGTCACCAGATCTATCTCCTGTTGTTCTTGAACCTGCAATGGTTAGAGGTATGACCAAGTTATCCACAGCAGAAACATGATAACTTCCTTCTTCAAATAGCGCTCCAACATGAGCCTTGCTCTGATACCAATTGAAAGTACAAGAGGGAGAGGGGGTGAAATGTAACCTATTTAAAAATCTTGGTTGACTAAGTGCAAGTTTAGTCGACTAGACTTTGCACAGTGATAATTTTAGTAGGAATGAACAGAAAAGTAAAGAAGGCACAACAGTTTTTATACTGGTTCAGTACCGGTGTGGTACCTACCTCCAGTTCCCTTACAGATAAATGTTGACCAATCTGGCTAACATTGAACTTGGTAGAATGAAATGGTTGAATAATTTAAAAAATTAGATTATTCATGAATACACATTTAATGCTGAGATTACGCATTGAATTTCTGGTAGTAGATCCATAATAAAAAAAGTCTTTGTGATTGTTCCAGGAGAAATGATAGAAAAGATATGGTAGAGCTAGGACAACTATTGTATGAGGTCTACCCAATGATTAGATATCTATGGAAAAAATAACGATGTAGAGGGCAACTGAAAAGGAGGCTCGACCTACATGGAGAGTGGTGGGCAGGGATTCTCTGCTCTACGTTCGAACATTGGTTGGTCTTAGCTTAGCGTGCTAGCCGCTGCTTCATTTCGTATAGTTGGGTCACTAGGGTTCTCTTAGATCTTTGGTAAATGTTTATAGTAGTGATGGTTTTAGTACGTTCACCATCAATGATGTACAGCAACAGTAGTTTTTGCAGTATTGACACAACTCTCGGTTCGTGTTCTAACTGTTCCTATCTTTTTTGACACTTGTAGACTCAAGAATACAGTATTTGTACTATGAACTAGAAAGGCTTAGACACAGATCATGTAGTTGCGTAAATCATCTTCTTGAGTTTTCCAGTCTTCTTATAGGAGAGTTTGAATAGCCGTTGCATATTGATCTTTGATTGAGACACAGAATCCTTTAAGAGATTTGACCCAAGGAGTGCCTCTGAATCCTGCTCATGAAATGGGCTGGATTTTACGTCCTTCCCTTTTCATAACCATATTTCAGGGAGTGATTTGTGGCTTTGATTTGGTTGATCAATCTTCAGTATCTTCAAATTCTAATTAAGTCCTTGAAGTATGGCTTGATATTCTTTTAGCATCTGCACTTGAGATGTTTCCTTCTTGAAAGCCTCGATGTCCTTTGATTTAGCCTTGACTTCCCTTAGCATCAAAACTTGATTTTGTTTCCTTTTTGATGGCTTTGACTTACTTTGATTTAGCATCGTTTTTGTTGCCTTTGATCTCGTTTTCTTTCTGATGTCCTTACAAAAAGGACTTCCTTTGAAGTAGTGCTACTTCCTGATTTCCTACAATCATATGGATACAATTAGATTTGCACTATTGTCATCATTGAAACTTAGATGTAACAAATATCTCGATGACTTTGATGAATTTAGTATGAATTCTCCTAAGAATACGCTTGGAAGTTAGTTATACTATTGATGTTCGTGATGCAGATGAAAGGTTCTCAGGTCTAATGAAACGGGTTTTATGGTCCTTCAAAAAGATTAGTTTTGACAAACAAGCATTGAAATTATTCCCTTATATTTCGTTTTGTAAAACCTATTGTGCTTCTTCTACTTGTCATTGTATTCGTTGAAAGAGCTTTTTCGACAATAAAATTTATCAAGAATTATGGAGAATTGAATGAGTTATGAACTTTTACTAGTTGTTTGGTACTTATATAAAAAATATGCTTAATATTATTTTTAATGATACTATTATAAAAACATTTCAAGATTTGAATACTTATCGAGTACAATTGTGATATTGTATTTGAATAAAAATGTGTTTGGTTATTGCTTCTTTGAGTACTCTTTTTTTGAACTCCCTTAACAGAAATTCTGCACCACCACTAGGTGGTGTTGGATGAGGTGTTGGTGATGGAAGAAGAAGTGGAGGGAAGGGGAAGGGGAATGGGAAGGGGAAAGGGAAAGAAAAAGGGAGGGGAAAGGGG